TTCCATTGTTCTGTCAGAAATCATTTATTCATTGGTTCTCAACTGGTCGTTCTTTATGTTTACATATAGATTTTTTTCTTTTCCAAAAATAGGTCCATTTCAACCACGTAAGTACCTCAACTGTTTTTTTTTGTTTTTTTTTGAGAAATTCACCCCCTGCGGTCAAGGATTTGAGAAGGGGTCTCTGTTTGACTCAACCGATTTACTTGAAAAATGGTGTTAACATGTAATGACCTTTCTAAAAATAGTAAACTAAATTCAGATTTTGGAAATTGTTAAATTTGAGTCCAAATATCAGGGTCAAGTGGATTTGGAGAGCTATGAAGGCTGGATCGATGGATGTACCTGAAAATTAATATTTGAATCTAAGGAACCCATCAAAAAAAAATCTCAATTAAGTTTTTCGAACTTTCCATGTTTAAGAGCACAAGATTAAAAATAATGATTTTTTTTTCTAGACTATATATTTCCTAGTGGCAAAGCGGTATGTGTGCGGACTCATACCCTTCGAAAGCGGGTTTCGATAGTCGTGGTGAGAGGAGAACAAACAGATCATTGTGTAGCTTTGTGCTTAACTACATTTTATAGTAATACTTCAGTAGTTCGTTTTTATAAATTGGTAACAGCGTAAAAATAAAAATAAAACTGACATTTTTTTGTTTCCCAGTATGAAAATCAGGCTGCTTTACGTGAACAAAATAAAACATTTCTTTCAAGCACGTCTGAGACAAACACTCTTGTCCTAAGAGTACTAAGCGTACACTATAGACATTTGAAATATGATAATATTAGGTCGTCAAGAAATTAATGTCGCGTTTTGGAACACGTTCATTAACCACCCCTAAAAAAACGTACATCACGTATAATAGTTAAACGAACCGCCTAAACGTCACATGAGTGTAGTCTATGTAATATGTAAAGTTTAGTATACTCTAATCCATTATGGTGATGGCACATGACGAGACACACACATTCGGCATTTAATGCTGTTTGAATACAAGAAGGGAAACAACTCCTCTGTAGCCACAAAGAATATCAAAGAAGTTTATGGAAATGTTTTGAACGTTCGTAAGTTTCAACGATAGTTCAGCAAATATCGTTCAGGTGACTTTAGCCTTAAAAACTGTGATGGCAGGGGCTGACATGTTGGAATTAATATTGATAGTCTGAAGATGCTTGTTGAGTCTAACCCAAGGTAACACACTCGTGAAACGGCTCTGAAATTGCATGTCTCTCATGAAACAATACGTAAACATCTAAGGAATATGAGAAAACTCCATAAAGAAGGTGTCACCGGTGATAAAAAAATGGATTCTCTATGCGAATGTTAAACGCCAAAAACAATGGCTCAGTCCTAGACAAAAACCACTTCCGACCCCAAAATCTGGACTCCATCCGCAGAAAGTGATGCTTTGCATTTGGTGGGACATGAAAGGAGTAATTTATTTCGAACTCCTCAATCCACAGCGAACTGTAAATGCAGAGATCTATAGTCAGCAACTAGAACGTTTAAATCAAGCCCTTCATCAAAAACGCCATTCACTCTTCAATCGGAAAGGTGTTCTTTTTCTCCACCACAATGTTTGACACAACACAAGTTGGAGTTGGTTTGGGAAATTCTCCCCCACCCACCATATTCTCCAGATATGGCACCATCAGATTACCATCTTTTTCGTTCGCTGCAACACCAGCTTAATGGG